TCCAAAGGAAAGTGAGTTCATGCTTTGTGAGAGTGTTTTCTCAGGACACCCACTCCTCACCTATGGACATGGTTCGGTTCCAAAGACCAGGTCATTCATTACGCAAAAATCAGCTTTACATGAAAATGGAGGGTGATCACGTCAGGGCCCGAAATGGGGGCTGACTACACCATTATGTAACCACCAAGTCTCAGCATTACGCGACTGAGAATTATGGCCCAGCCAAGTGGACACGTGATCTTAACCATCATGGCCAGCGTTACTGTCGCCTCGCACCCTGGCATTTTTTACCACCAAACATAATGCTGTTACTGCACAAAACAGAGAGTAGGTTTTTACTGCTGTTGTAAATGTGAAATGTGTAATAAGAAACGCGATAATGGATCGGCCAGAAGTAGATATATTTTCATCTATGTGGGACCTGAAAGTGTTTCTCAGATCTGCCAGAACGTTGGCAATTTCAAACATGTGCACACACATGGACATGCACACACGTGGATGCACACACATGTGAACAGGTGTCCCAGTTCACACATCTGGAAACAGAGCACAAGGGCTCATGAGTGGGAGACCCTGCAGCACTGACCTGCCTCGCTGAGCACCCAGAGTGTCTGACACAGGACGTGTGGGCCAAGAGCTGACCCCACAGGTGTGGCTGACGCCGGGTCCTCTGGCACAAACCACCATGTCCATTGTTGGGAAACACCCTCTGATGTGGGAGCCACGAAACTCTGAGCTGTCCCTTCACAGACCGGCTCACTCAACACTCTGAGCCTTCACCTGGCCCAGAAGAGCTGCAGCACTCCTCAGTAAAGCCACTTACTCACGGAGCCAGAGCCCAGTGAACGAGGAGACACACTAACACGGCTTCTCTAGAGCCACCACCCCTCACCTTGTGACCACCCCTGAAGCCATGGCAGGCCCTCCCGGAGGGTCTGCTCAGACCCCCAGGATGACTTCACTCCGCTCACCAAGTGCAGAAATGGAACTGAGTGCGCACGGGCACCACTCTCACTGGGAAGTCCTGCCGTGCACCTTCCTTGGAGACCCTCCGCCTAAGTCACCAGGAGAGGCAACAAACCGAGCCACCCCGGGGGAGGGGTCAGCACCCAGCACAGCAGCCCCGGGGGGAGAAGGGATCACTGCTCCACACACATCGGCAACGCGGCCAGCACCAAGGCCCCTCAAACCCCAATCAGCACAGATCAGATGCAATACCCTGAAAAAGGCCAAAATGACTCCCCAAAAGTGGGCTCCCCCCTCCCCCTTCCGGTGGATTTTCTGCACTCCTGAGGAAGCATCCACTGCCCCGTGGGATGGGCTTCCCACGTCCCAGAGGGGGCCTGCTGCCTTCTCTGGGTGGGCCTGTGGTCCCAGGTGACGACAGTCGTCACCTGGGGGAGGCTGCTTCTAGCACAGGTGGAAGTGCTGGGACACGTAACCAGCAGTGTCCTTTCTGGAAAGCTGGTCTCACTGTCCGAGTTTAATAACTTCCTGCAAAGAATCCTCTCTGGCCAGAAATGCCTGCCTTGTTCTGTCTGCAAACAGTGGCCCGGAAAGAAAAACTTAAAACGTCCCAGATGACCCGTCAGGAGACCGGGAAGTAACTATGTTTCTAATTGAAGCTGAGTTAGGGGCTTCTCTGGAAGGATGTCGGGAAGGGCCCGTACCTGGTGTGAAACATGGACGCAGTCGTGCTGACGGCCACGCTGTCCAAGAGTCCCCTGCTTTTGAAAGCCTTCAGTCTCCACGCATACACGTGTGTGCACAGATCAGCAAACAACCCCACTTCAACATGAACGTGGAGTTACGAATGGCCAGCGTGTGACCGAGTGCCTGACGCTTCCAAGGCTCGTGAGTGAGGCATGGACTGTCTCACCACGTTACTGCTGTGGTTGGCTGCCATTGATCAGTGCTGACTCACAGCGACCTCTGAGCAACAGAGTAAGGGTAGCCTGGCCCTGCACCCCCTCCATAATGGCTGGCATGTCTGAGTCCATTGCTGGTCAGCCCGTCTTGTGGAAGGCTTCCCTCGTTACCACTGACCCTCCCCTTTACAAACCCAATGTCCTTCAGTAGTGATGGGGCTTCCTGAAACTGGCCCAACCAGCACTGCTTCACTGCTAGCTTGCCTTCCAGATGCCAGACACGGAGTTGGCACAGGACAGTGCGTGCAGGTTACGGACCCAGCTGTGGCCTCGCAAGGTGGCTGAGGAAGGCAGCTGACGCAGGACAGCTGAGCTGGCCCTCAGCCAGAGCAAGTGTCCAGAGGACTGGAGGCAGGCAGAGCTCTTAAAATGATCCGGGGTGGACCTCACAGCAGCACAGGGTGGGCCCGGCCGGGGCGACAGTCGGACGTTCACGGGGCAGCCTCCCCATGGCCAGCGGGGCCTTGCATTGACATGCACGGCTGTTCACCCCACAGGGGCCAAGATCCACCTGAATGAATGGGATGTCCCCAGGCCATCAGAGCACACGGCCCTAGGTGGACCTCCCTCACAGGTCAGAGAGCAGATGGACAAAAAGCAGCTGGAAGTCTGTGGGCACAAGCGTCCAGGCACAAGGCACCATAACCTGGGGAAGTGAATAGCAAGAGAGCTGTTGGGGGGCTCCTTTGTGGAGTGGAGCCAATGGCGTGAGGACGCGCCTCATCACCAAGCTCCTTCCCCAGTACGCAGCACATTTAAAGCCGTGCAGACGAAACCGCCTCAAAATCAGCTCCTCGGAGGAGGACGTCCAGGTCTGCACTTTGCCCTCCCACATCCCACGGGGCAGGCTGTCTCTGCAGGGAGAGCCTATTTCCCAGTGACGTGCATGATTGTGCACAAGCTGAGGGGGCGGGCAGGCGTTCACACCTACTCTGAGTGAAGTGGGAAATCAAGGCCCTGTTAGGAGGGGATGCCCTGTGGTTCTAGCTGATTACAGTGTGGCTCAGATGGGCTGCTTTCAGAGCAATTTCAGTCGGAAAATGTGAAACAGAAAAAGCCACTGGCCCCACAGCCCCTCCCCCTTGGCCCCCAATGTGGTTTGGAGCAGATAGGGAGGTGCTGTGAGCCTGTGTGGGACAACTCGGGGCCCAGGGCCGTTCAGGGAGGTGTTCCCAGGCTGCTTGGTGAGGACCAGTGCCCACATCCTTGTGATCCACAGCAAAGCTGGCCAGTGCACAGAGCCAAGATGGCGTTCATTGGGCACAAAACCACAGCATGATCCCATGAATGGCAATCTACCTAGCTTATTGCTTATCACTTGAACCACAATCCTGTGAACACAAAACTCTGCACCCTTGGCTCTCACACTTTGTCTCTTTGGGGTGGCCCCACTGACACCAGGCAGATGGGGGTGCAGGGTAGCATCACAGCTACCTAAGGAGCCAGTGGGAACCCCAGACACTGAGACACAGTGACCCTCCCAACAGACAAATAGCTTACGGTCCAGAGGCTTGGTTAAGAGTGAGCCTGATCCATACCTGAATCGGTCAGCCAGGTCGTAGGGCTCCGTCCCACCCCAGGGAAGCTGCCTGGGGCAGAGCCACCAAAACCTGGCCAGTCCCTAAAAGACAGAGCTGGGACCCCCACCTCATCCCACCAAGTTCACGATGGCCCAGGGGCAAATGGGCACCACGGGGGCTGGGGGCTAAAGCCGGCTGTGGATCAGGTCTGTAGGCCCCCTACTGCAGCCAGCCCTCCATGCTGGAGTCGGCACACACAGACTCTGGCAGGCAATGCAAAGTCTCCAGCAGGAGATTAAACAACCAGACAAGCTTTGTGGTCAACAGCAAGGGGGCACTGGAGATGCAACCAGAACACCCCAGGCCAGCCCTTGCGCTCTGCACCAGGGATGTGCAACCACGGGGAGGCCTCGTCCAACCAGTGAGTGTGTGACCAAGGGGAGGAGAGGCCTGGCCGGACCCTCTGTGCTGGCGAGTGTGCAACCACGGGGAGGCCTCGTCCGACCAGCGAGTGTGTGACCATGGGGAGGAGAGGCCTTGCCGGACCCTCTGTGCTGGCGAGTGTGCAACCACGGGGAGGCCTTGCCGGACTCTGGGCAGCCCCAAGCCCATGGTGCTCAGACATGGCAGCTGCACTCGTATGTGGTCCAAGGAGAAGGGTGCAGGGAGAGGGCCCTGCTGGGCCCCTCCTGCAGATACAGAGGGTAAAACAGGGAGCCGTCGCGCAGGCCCCAACACCGTCCCCTCGTCCACGGCCCCTCCAGTACCGACAGGAACAACTGGGAGCCGGCTACAGACACACCACCACTCCCCTCGCAGCGTGCAGCGGCCACCCAGAGCTCAGCTGGACGTGGAAGCAGGGGCCCTGGGCTGTGGCTTCCAGGCCTCGTGCCACCCCTCCAGAAGCCAAGGGGATGGGCTTCGGTTAGAGGGCGTACCTGGTGCTTTCTCCACAAAGATGACTTTGGAGTCCTGCAGGAAGTTGTGTCCCGACAGCACCATCTTCTTACCGCCCACCACCAGATAGCTGTCCGTGCTCTGCTTCTCTACCAGCGGCAGCTCCTGGGCCGACCTCTGGGCTGGGGGGACACAGGACGGTGTGAGTACAACTGCAGGGACAGGCTGGGGGAGTGAGTCAACCACAGGGAGTAGGGGTGCAGTGTGAGTACAACCCTGGGGACCAGTGAGGGGGTGAGTACAACTGTGGGGACTGGTGGTGGTGCAGTGTGAGTACAACCACAGGGGCTGGGGGGGGGGAGAACAACTTCAGAGACTGAGAGGGGTGCAGTGTGAGTGCAACTGCAGGGACTGGCAGGATTTGAGTACAACCTCGGGGATGGGTGTAAGGCAGAGATGCCGCTGCTGAGTATGGTGGACAGGCACCCACACCTCCTGCCATGTGACTGGCGCATCGAGAACACGTGCTGTCTGCCCATGTTTACAGGAGTATTACCAGTACTTCAATCACAAAAGAAACAAGTGGTAGCCCACCTCCAATCGGAACACCCCACCGCTTCAGACCACGGTCCCCCTCATCTCCCTGACAGGCATGTGAGCAGGTGGCATCAAAGCTGCAGCCCAATGGGTCCTCCCTAGCCCACATGGACACACACACATGGAGGGGCTGCTATGACAGAAACCGGCTGCTTGAGGCTTCTCCATGGTACTCACAGCACTCGATGGGGTTGGATGCGACCTGCAGGGACAAGGTCCGGCCGCCAGGCTGGGGGATGTGGACACGGAAGACCAGCCTCACACGTGTGTTCTTCCTCCCGATGTCAGTCTCTCCTTTCCGAAGCTCAATGTCTGAGTTCCTGAGCTTCAAAATTCCGGCACAGTCGATGCTGCCCAAGAAAAAAGGCCAAGCATGGAGCATGCCCCACACCCACCTCCGAGGGGCCCCTGGTCCCAGCACAGGCCCTGCAGACTAGCCTCTTAGCTTCCCCTCTCAGCATGTGGCCCCCCAGATAAGTGACTCCGGCACTCACCAAGAGCAGGCTAACCCCTGAGGTCTCTACCTGCTGGTGAGGTGGGAGACAGAAGCAGCTGTGTAGAGTCATGGGGCCTCTGTCACCTGCCCCCAGACTTGGCTGGGTGGGGACACAGTCCCCAGAGGGGACCCCAGAGGAGCAGGGGCTCAGAGTCTGCCCCCTGCTGCTCATCTTAACCTTCTTTCCCAGGTTGCCTGTGGTCTCACTCTACAACCAGGGTTCACTACACACCTCCATATACAAACTCAACCCAATGAAGCCTACTGCTGCTCCCTTGTCCCCAGGCTAAGAGAGCAGAGAACAAACTTCTATATGTGGGAAACTGGAGCTCTGGTGGCACAGTGGTTAAGCCCTAGGCAGCCAACCAAAAGGTCAACATTCAAACCCGCAGCTGCTCTGCAGAAGAAAGATGAGGCAGTCAGCTTCAGTAAGCCTTGGAGATCCCAGTGGGCAGTTCCACTCTGACCTCTAGGGGCGCTGTGAGTCAGAATGGACTCCACGGCAGTGGGTGTGGTTTGGACTTTGCTTCTGTGAAAACTGACAGCCTTGGAGACCCTGTGGGCAGTTCCACTCTGTCCTCTAGGGGCACTGTGGGTCGGAATGGACTCCACGGCAGTGGGTGTGGTTTGGACTTTGCTTCCGTGAAAATTGGCAGCCTTGGAGACCCTGTGGGGCAGTTCCACTCTGCCCTCTAAGGGCGCTGTGGTCGGAATGGACTCCACGGAAGTGGGTGTAGTTTGGGTTTTGCTTTCATGAAGACTGACAGCCTTGGAGACCCTATGGGGCAGTTCCACTCTGTCCTCTAGGGGCTCTGTGAGTCGGAGTCCACTGCAGGGCAGTAGGTTTTAGGATATGAAGCCACACTGCATCAGCAGGCAATGTGAGGACAGGCATTTAAGCAGAGATTGGCTCATCAGCAGAGTTAATCTGGGAGGGCATTACCTGTGGGTTTTTCCAAGCATCTTAGCCACCAGGTGTACTACCTGGAGCAATGACTGAGCCACTACATAAAGGGTGGGGAGTCTCTCTAACCATCTGGCTTGACACTGGTCCCTGGGGAAATGGGACTCCAGTGCAAACCCAAGGGTAGATAATGAGCTCAGAGGTGCACCAACTTCTCTGAATTCGTAAATGGCCAAGACAGAAAAAGAGCTTGGCCAGGGTTTTCACTTAGAAGGTGTAACAGCTGGACTCAGCAGAGCAGTTCTGCCCCTGCCCACAAACCCCAGCTCACTCCAGACACAGGGCCCCCGCACCACCGGGCTGCCATCCCAGCCCTTCATGGCTGGCCCTACCGCCACCTCCACCTCCACTGCCCGCCTCAGACCAGAGAGTGGAGCACGTGTGGCCCACCTACATGGCCCACTACAAATATGGTACCATAGATATGATACCATAGACACCAGAGTGCACACTGCCCAACAAAGACGAGAGCAGAGTGTGCACAACCCATCGCAAAACATAAGAGATCAGAGCACACGCAGTCTGCCACAGACCCGCCCATGCGGACAGGCAGCACGCGGCCGGCACCGGGCAGTCCCCTGCAGACCCGCCCAAGTGGACACGCAGCACGCGGCCGGCGCAGGGGCTCACGTTGCGCGCATGTTGTTCTCTGGCAGCAGCAGGATCTCCAGGACTTTGGTGTTGGAGAGGATTGTCTCATGGCTGGTGGTAGAGACGGTCTTCCCCGTGATCCGGTGGACCTGGTAGAAGGCATGAGGCCTCAGCAGGCGGTCATCCGCTGTCCCGATGAACAGCTGGAGCGTGAGTGGCTCGTTTTCCATGTAGCCATGGAGCTGGCAACAGAACAAACCAAAAAGCACCACACACATGAACTGCTGGGAAGCCAGTGAAACTTACAAGCAGAGAGTCTTGTTGAAAAGGAGAATTTGGGACAGACAGGGAGTGTTAGGCCCCCTCTTCCTCCCTGCCCCCTTTCATTTCTCAATGGTACAATAAAAACAGTGTACTCAGAAAATATTTCATTGTCCTGAAGACCCAGAGCACCTGGCCAGGCTTCAGCTTTCACCAGTCCTCTTGTCTAAGTCTTAACACACACATGCACATATGCACACACACTCAGGCAGAGGCACGTGTGCTCATGCACACACCCTTATGCACACACACTCATCTATACACCCATGCACACAGGCACACACATCCATGCACACACACCCATCTACACATGCCCATACACACAGGCACACATCCTCATGCAGATACACTCATACACACATGTTCATGCACACACGTGTGTACATGCACACATGTACACATGCTCATGCACACACACCAACACACACAGGCACACAAACCTATGCACTCATGTACACATCCACATGGACATAGGCACACACATCGATGCCCACAGGCATACATGCTCATGCATACAGGCACACACACCCATGCACCCATGCACACACCCATGCATACAGACACACACAGACGCACACAAGCACACACATATGTACACAGGCACACACTCATGCACACAGGCACACACACTCATTCCCACAGGCCCATGCACTCATGCACACACATATGTACACAGGCACACACACCAATGTACAGTCACACATGCTCAGACGCACAGAGGCACACATTCTCAGGCACACACCCATGCACTCATGCACACATACACAGGCACACATGCTCATGCACACAGGCACACACACCCAGGCACGCAGGCACACATGCCCATGCACGTGCACACAGGCACACACACACATGCTCATGCACACAGGTCCATGCACATGTATACACACCCATGCACATAGGCATACACTCATGCACACATGCTCATGCACACACACACACCCATGCACATGTGATCATGCACGCACACACTCATCCACATGCAGACATGCAGGCACACACACATGCTCATGCAGTTAGCACACATGCACGCACACTCATTCACACACACATGCATACATGCAGACATATATGCTCATGTGCACACACATACACATGCATCTGCACACAGATGCACACATGTGCACACCCCCATCACCAGCATCAGCCCCACTGCCATCTGTGCTGCACCCTGGTCCCTCAACCTCCACCCTGCTCTAGGTCCTCCCACTCCACTAGCAGGTAAGGGACATGTGGCTTGTTTCTCTGTGCGTGTGGATGCTGGCGAGGGGGGTGTGATGGTATACCAGAAAGTCTTGCCTCCTAAAGTCAGGAAGCGAAGACCATGTGGGCTGTCTGCAGTCAATCACATCCCACAGTCAGCCACTGCTCCCAATCTGCAGCGGCCACCTGTGGTCAGAGGCACTGAGACTGAATGCCGGGCACAGCATCAACCAGACAGACAGCGTCCATGCCTGGCAGAGCAACACACACCCTCACCTCCCTGACATGACAGCCCCTCTGCCCTGCAGTTCACAAGAGGCTCAGCCTCCTGGCTCAGCCCAGACTGGGGCTTCAGACGACTGCCCTTCTGAACTAACACCCAGAGTTCAGCTGCCTAAGGCACTGTGTGCTTCGTACATCCAGTGCCTGCCCAGGCATTCTGAAGGACCAATTTATTCACGTTCACCTTGAAGATACCACACGTGCTCAGTATAATTCTACTCAATGTAGGTTCGTTCTAGAGTGGGCTGCCAGGCTCCGAGCTAGCCTCCCCTGCCTGAGGGGCTCTGTAACCCCTTGTTCCGGTTCCCTAGTGCTGCTCTGACAGGAATATACCACCAATGGGACGGCCTTAACAAACAGGAGTTTATTCTTACAATTTGAAGGCTTTAAGTCCCAGTTCAAAGTGCCTTGGCCTTGGGCTTCAGTTCTGCCTCCAGCTCCTGGCCCACTGAAGCTAGAGGCTTTTCTTCACTCAGACAGCTGCTGGCTGCTGAGGCTGCCAAGCCCAAGGTTGACAAAATAAAAAGGCACAGTCTCAATACTACCAAATCACACGGCAGGCCATTGATTCAAGTCCATTGTAAGTCCCAAGGTTGGCAGAGCATGGCAGGCTGCTGAACACAGGTACATGCAGGGTTCAAGATGCCATAAGCTAGAGACCATTCACAAGGCTTCGCATTATATACAGGAAGCATACCACATCCCAAATGCAGCTACTCAGCTGCTTGTGGTAGATCCCACCATGGAGTTGATTGGCAGTCTCATCATGGGGAGTAACTACCACCAGCTACCCAGCCACTCAACCAGGCCCAGCCAAGTTGACACACAAACATAACTACCACACCTCTCCTTGCCAGAGTGAAGAAAAGGGCACTGGCCACCTGGCACAACTATGAGGGTCACAGGAAAGGACTTTGAGAAGCATGGCACCAAGAAACCATCCCCACTGTCACCATCACTTCTCACAGGACCATCTTTAAAACTGCGCACAGCCGAGAGAACTGTAACACCGCCAGTTACACGGCTCTCAGCTGAACTACAGTTGTGTGGAGATGCTACCGGTGCCGTCACTGTACAGGAGAGCCAGTATCACCCAAAACCAGCGAGCCCGAGAGACAGTGAACTCCAAGCCTGGGTTTGGATCCTGCTCTGCCATGTTCTGTGCATGCGTGGATGGGTACCAGGCCCTCCGAGCAAGGTGGGAGCACCAGGAATAACCAGGCCCAGGCTCAGCACTCACTCTCCCGACCATGCCCTGCTGAGGATGACCAGGGTGATGGAGATGTGAGGGGGGAGGAGGGAGATGTGAGGGAGGAGGAGGAAGATGGAGGAGGGAGATGAGGGAGGAGGAGGAGGGAGGGGTGAGGAGGAGGAGGGAGACATGAGGGAGGAGGGGGATGGAGACGTGAGGGAGGAGAAGGGAGACGCAGGAGGAGGGAGATGAGAGAGGAGGAGGAGGAGGGAGATAAGGGAGGAGGAGGAGGGAGACATGAGGGAGGAGGGGGATGGAGACGTGAGGGAGGAGAAGGGAGACGCAGGAGGAGGGAGATGAGAGAGGAGGAGGAGGAGGGAGATAAGGGAGGAGGAGGAGGGAGACATGAGGGAGGAGGAGGGAGACGAGAGAGAGGAGTGGATGGACAGGTGAGGGGCCTGACGAGACTGTTTGATCCCAGAAGCCCCATGACAGCTCTTCTGCAGGCCAAGGGCAGGGCTAAGGGGTGGGATCCTAGGAGGTGGACATGTGGGGACTGAGGGCCACAGTCCAACAGCAGGTGGAAAGGTAGGGCATCCTGTGGCAGCCAGCTATGATGGAGGACAGCACTGAGGACCAACGTGGAGTCAGAGGAGGCAGGGAGATGCAGTGGTGCAGACATACACACGGGGTCTCCAAAGGAGACGGGACATGAGTGACACGGAACTAGACCGACCCCCGCCTCGGTATCCATGAACACTCAACTTCCAGGCACAATTCCAACTCAAGTCTTAAATGTTCACTTTAATATGCCAACATGAAGGGAAAAAAGCTCCGGGACAGGAAGTAGGTCCCCTGATGCCGGCGACGCTGCTGGGCCTGGCATGGGGAGGTGGGTGCTGCACAAGCCCGGCAGGTGGCTTTCACCCCTCTGCAAAGCAGGCTGCCTGGGGGGCCGTGGCGGAGGTGGGCTGGCTTGTTAGGTGGCACCTCAACGTCACTAACACAGGACCAGTGCGGCCAAGATGAAAGGTGGCCGCGGGGGCCGTGGGGGCGGCAGGGGCCTGCTGCAAACGCAGCCTGTCTGTCGGATCCAATTACGAGCTGCCAGGCAGCAGGGAGACTCTCACCGCAATGTTGTGTCAGTAAGCGCAGAGGCTCACTGGGGAAGGGGCTGAACAGAGACAGGCTTCCCGGAAGGAGCCCTGTGGCTCAGTGCTGAAGCACTCGGCTGCTGACTGAAAGGTCAGCGGTTTGAATCCACCAGCTGCTCCATCACAGAAAGCCCTGGTGATCTGCCGCCGTGCAGAGTAAGCCCAGGAAACCCCACGGCCAGCTCTACACTGTCACGTGCAGTTGCTTTGAGTCCGACTCGACTCGACGGCACCCAGCCACATTCCCTGGACGGGTCTGGGGCCTTTACATTAGGAGGGACGCAGGCTGCTTTCCCTGCTCCGCCTGAAAACAGACGGCTTACAGAGGAAACAGCCTCCTGGCTGGTAGCTGGTGTCCAAGGGCTGACAACAGCTCCATCAGTTTGGGGAGGAGCAGAATGAGGAGCTCCTGGGTGGAACAGACAGTTAACGTGCTTGGTGACTGCCTGAAAGGTTGCAGGTTCGTGTCCACACAGAGGCACCGTGCTATGACATGTGTGGAGGTACCAGGAGCCAGGATCCACGGCAACTGATTTTATGGTGAACAAAACGATCCAGCCACTCACAAGCCCAGAGGCTGATCCTGAGGTAGGCTGCTTCCCAGAGCAGCCAACGTCTTTGTCCAGCTCATGGCAAGGTTTTTCGAAACACGTCCACCTCTCTCTCCCTAAGCAGCCTGGTGACCATCGTGAGAGCTACGATACTGACACTGACACATCACCTCGAAGACCAGAGCAAGGGGCCTCGTTTACATGACCCCACTGAGCAGCACACCAACACCACAGCTCAAAACACAGCTTGGGCCAGCAAACCAGCGTGACGCTACACCGCGTACTCCCCGCAGCACGAGAAAGACACTGTGCACGAGAGTCCTCACAGACCCCCACCAGCTTCTCGCCCAGGGGAGCCGGGCACAGGAATCCCCTGGCCGCGGGGCAGTGGTCACCCTGCCCGCAGCCCAGACAAATAACCCACCCCTGGCCTCACTAAGGCTGGCCTGCGTATCAGGGGCTTATCTGCAGGGGAGCCCAAGGAGGCCCACGGCCGCAGACACAGGGCACCCTGCCGCAGGCGAGCCAGGCGCACACTA